TCAGATTATCTGTGAAAGAGACATTACTGACAGCTTCAATGATATCAGATTTGAGATCAAGTTGTAGAGATCTGTCAATGTTATTATTATATTAAATAGTGAGATTCTTCATATTGTATAGATAAGATATCATTCTATTCATCTCTAATAAGTGATGTTCTGATGAATTCATCATGAATATAGCTAGTTTATTCACTGTATATACAATATCAGAGTGAGTTATCATCACTGAGTAGATGCAGAAGCTGATACATTATTGATAATAATGAATTTTTTATGAATATAGCTGACTTAATAAAAGGCTCTAACAGAGCATCAGTCAGTGAAGTATATACCTTGCAGATGTGTGTGAGATGATATATATCAACTATCTTATCAATATAGGCATTCTGATATAGTCAGAGCTTCAAGTTGAGATGATTGTGTATTATTCATATGTTAAGAAACTATTTTAAATCTCTCATCTGTCAGATCTTATAGATGTTTTTAGAATCTTTGATTAGTTAATCTCTTTCTTTTAAATCTTCTCATTGTGATAGAAAGATGATATCATTCACATAGAAGAAGATGATTAATTAATTATTAGAGAAGAGACATTGATTCTCTGATATTGAGATGAAGTCTAGTATTCTCAATATTAAAGATAGTTCATTTAATCAGAGAAGAGATGATCTGTGTAATTCATATAGTACTTATAGAAGTTTTAGTACATGATTTATACACTTCAAATTTTACACTCTCTTCAACTTTCATCATTCATCAGATAGTTTCATATATACTAGCTTATTAATATCACTATTAATGAAGGCATTGATTTCATCTAGCTATTTCACATCTAGATTAAATACTGCTGTTAAAGCTAATAAGATTCAGAGATTTCTGACAGCTAGTGTATAGACTTTTTTAATAAGATCTGTGATTGATTGAAGATCTCTGTATATATAGATATGAGCTTTGTATTTCAAAAGAAAACCTTCATCATTGAATTTATAGATAAATACTTATTATAGAGAGATAATTGAGATGTCTCTCTGTAATCTGCTAGTAATTTCATATGTATTCTGCAGAGATATACTATCTCATTTCTGCTTAACAGCATTCTCAAATTATTTACAATGTGAGTGTTTTTCAACATCTGCTCAGTGATTCAGTGAATCTGACAGTTGAGATCTATAAATTCTTGAAGTTGATATGAATGCTGTTGATGTAGCTGTATTGTTGATAACTGTGAAAACAGTATTAGAAAATAAATTTTAAGACTTGTTGAAGTCTGTGTGTGAATTTGAATGAGAGAATGTATCATTGATCATTTAATAAGAATTATCTTTAACATTTTCAACTGTTATAAGATAAGCAGCTCTGCATTTTCATGTTCTGCAGTCTTTAATAATATTAGCTTTATTAAAATCAGCACTGATATCATGAGCTCTAGATGCAATGTTTCATGTTTAATTATCTATCACATCTGAATGAGTATTAATATCAACATTGAAACCTGTTGACTCTGGTATTGAATCTGGTGTAGAAAGGATTGAAACATTAGAAAGAATCAAAATATTATAATATTTATGCTTATTATTCTTCTTCTCTATTTTTTCAGAGCTTTGAGCATTTTCTTTGAGATGAAAAACATTAATATCTGCAGTATCTATAATCTCTTTCAATTGATTGATAGAAGTCATTGATGATTCTCAAACTTTCATATATAGAAGCTTCATCTTCTTAGATACTTAATCTCTTAGTTATCTTTTGATATAGATATCTTCTGAGTTGAATTTTCTATTCTCATCAAACATCACATCTCTTGCTCTTATCACTCATTCTAAGTGTGGAATTCAAATTTGATAAATGTTTATAGAATCATATTCAACTAGATATTCAATATATGCTCAGAAATCTAGCTTCTGAGAGTGGTTTCTATTGAGAACTTCATTCAGTATCTTTGTATAGATGTGATATTCATAGATTTAAAGATAAGTGCAGAAGTGTGATTTAATCTGTAGAAATTCTTTCAATACTCATAGACATGACTTTCAATCTAGAATTCTAGTAGAGGTTTGATTCACTAGATAGATGACAGTAAGTACAATCTCAGGAAAAAGTGATTGTGATAGAAGAGATTCTATTCATAGAGTTCTTATCTTTATTATTAATATTGCTCTTGCTCACTCTGCTGCATCATTTTACTCATGAATATACTCTGAAGAATACTTCATCTCTAGATCTTCATTATTCACTTAATTTATGAATTTATCTGCTTTCTTGACTGCAGTATCATTGTTAATACAAATGATCTTTATAGTACAGTTGAATTGACATTTAATTCAATTAATAGCTTATCTAAGAGCTTTTCAGATTTCTGATTTTCAGATAGCTGTTATAGCTATATGAAAACATAGATAATCACACATGAAATGTATGAGATAATACTCATCATTATAGCACTGTGTAGAGCCATGTGTGATATCTGCATGTAGATGTTTGAATGATATTTAAGATCTAATGTGAGAATATCTAGATATTTGATTTTTTGCATTAGATAGATGACAGAGTTTGTAAAGCTCAGTGATAAGCTCATCTGCAGTGTCTTTTAGATTAATGATTTGAATGCCAGTTGCATCATTTACAAGTTTTTGAATGATAATTTTTGATGAATATTCTAATCTCTTATGCTATGTAGACTGAGTAGCTATAGAGATCTTAGATTTTTAAGAAGGTTTTATGTGTATTGACTGGTTGAAAGAATGATTTGTAGAAGTTGAAGAATTTGAAGATATCATTTTTTCAGATATAGTGATATTAGATGTATGTGATGTGATAGCTGTATCAGCTTCAGTAGTGAATTTTTCTGAGATAGTTGAGAAAACAGCTGTTTCACTATTATATTCTGTAACTAGCAATCTCTTAAATACTTCAACACATATAAAGATTGTATTATCTGTGTATTTTCTCAATCTGAAGTCTTTTTCATCATAATAGATGTCTTCTATATAAAAACACAGTTTCCATGCAATGATATTTGTATGAAAATTCAGTATATAAGCTGCATTGATGAGATTGACATTGAACTGCTTTTCTGCTTCATTTATCATGATAGTTCTAACAGTTTCATAATCTTCAACTTTAGTGCTGAAATCATCTGTATAGACTTCTGCATTCTTGTTCACAGATGTAAAGAATAGAAAATGTGTTCAATTATTATTTACATACTGTTCTGTGTCAGTATCAAAGATTCAGAAGTTTCAGAGATAGAAGTGTGAATTTAAAGAGTTTATTAATATTTTTCAGATCTGTTGATTGATAGATTGATGATTGATAGATTGAGAAACTGATTACTTCAGAATCATTTCTTCTAGAACTGCTTCATTGACATCTATTATATTCATATTCATGAATGAATCTCTAGATATCACATGATCAACATGTCTGTTCAATTCTTGATTTTTAAGAGCTTGATTAATCTGAGTTCTCTTCTCTTTATTTTTCTTTCATTCAGATGACTTTCTTATTGAATTGAGATAGTAGTACTGAGTGTGTCAATGATGAGCTCTGCAGATGCAGTTTCTGAATGTCACTTATAATAATTACTAAGATCTTTCATTAAGAGTAGTAAAGTTCATAGATTTATCTTTTTTGAGAATACTCATTTCTCTATATCTTTTCTTAAAGTCTTTAACTAACTCTATCAAAGATATGACATCTTTATTATATCAGACATTCTTTGCTCATACTTGTATATAACCTGCATTAATAGCTAGGTTTGCATTTAAGAAGTCTTTCTTCAAGTTGAACTGTTCAGCTATATCTGTCTCTTTGATATCATCTTCAATGAGTGATCAGTCATTTAACTACTTCTCTATATCTCTGTTTTTCAGTACTTTACAGAGATCATGATATTGAGTTCTCACATTATCTTGATAGTCTGCAGTCATGAGTGAGAGTTAATCTCTTAATAAACAGATAATCTTCTTCATATCATCATTCTCACTGTGTACATGTTATAGCTCTGTGACATTCACTGTTCTTTATATGACATCTTGTATCTTTGTCATATCTTCATTCAATTTCTCATATTTCATATATTTGATTTTTCACACAGTGATCTTAATATTATATGCTATCTTAGCCTCTGCAGTGGCTTCTTCTGAACACTTAGGTTTCAGAGATTCTTCTAGTTCAGAGAAGATATCAGGTTTGTCAAGATTGATGAAGTCTGATACCTTCTTGTTCTTTACATATTCTTGTATATGCTTGTACCAAAGCTTCCAATCTTCAGAAATGCTAAGGTGTACAGTTGCACTAGACATTGTCTTATCTATCATATCAGTTGAGTATTTCAGACTGTATACAAATGAGGATCAATTGTCTCAGTTCAAATGATTATTGTCAAATTCAAATGAGGATTGAGATTGATGTATCACGCTTCTCTTCAGATGCTGCTTACTGGGAATTGAGTATAATGATTGAGTAGATCGGACTGTATATGACTGAGGATCAATCATCTCAGTTCAAATGATTGTTGTCAAATTCAAATGAGGATTGGGATCAGTGTATCATGCTTCTCTTCAGATGCTGCTTACCAGGCTCATAACTGTCAGAATGGATGTCACAGATGAATATGTTGAAGACATATGAATCTTATGTGTATCAAGATCTGCTTGTTATATTATCCATGCACTATCTAATCTATCTATTTCATACAAAAGATAGAGCTATTTATAGTAAAATATATGTGCGAGCCAAGAGAGCTAGCATAAGCAAGTATTAGATGAGTGTTGTAGTAAGCTGATGATGATGAGAAATATTGTAGTAATATGATGTTGGTGGCGTTCAGTAGTGTATAACCTCTTTTTCCTGACATCCGGGTACCCCGTAAATGAAAGAAGCAAACAAGCGGGGTGTCAAGACCTAATATACTAAAATTAACTTCGACATGTTCATGTCAGTAGCTACTCTGTGCAGCATGAACTGTTTCCTCTACCAACCTTTGCACCTCAACGATGAACCGACAGCGCCCCCCGCCCTCAGCCTACACCGTGGCATGGGTCTCTGCCCTGCCTATCGAGTCGGCAGCAGCGGCAGAAATGCTCGACGAGGAACATGATGATCCTCGGAGCCATGGGAGCAACATCGACCAATACGTTTTCGGCCGGATAGGCGACCATAACGTCGTGATAGCCCGCCTCCCATCAGGCCAGATGGGAAACAGCTCAGCAGCCGCCGTTGTAGCTCGATTAACGGCTGTGTTCCCATCGATTCGTTTTGCTCTGATGGTTGGAATCGGCGGCGGTGTACCGTCAGCGGTATCCGACATCAGACTTGGGGACGTGGTGGTTGGCCACCCGCATCTGCAGCACAGCGGTGTAGTGCAGTACGACTTTGGTAAGACGGGACCAAATGGGCAGATAACGAGAACAGGCGCGCTCGATGCACCGCCTAAGGTGCTTCTTAACGCGATCGCCAAGTTGCGAGAGAACCATCACCGCCACCTGAGCACACTTCCTACGCACCTGTCGGTTTTCGACCGATTGCAAGAGTTTAGACGAATCAGAGCTGGCTCAGACTTTCTCTTTGAGGCGACATACAATCACGCTAGAGGCGAAACTTGCAACTGTTGTGACAGGGAAATGATGATCGAGCGAGCTGAGCGAGGCAGCGAAGAGGTGGTGATTCATTATGGCACAATCGCATCAGGCAACCAGGTGATGAAGGACGGTGGGACCAGGGACAGGATAAGCGCAGAGCTTGGTGGAGTGCTGTGCTTCGAGATGGAGGCGGCCGGACTGGCCATTACATTTCCATGCGCGGTGATTCGTGGCATCTGCGACTATGCCGACTCGCACGAGAACAAGAGCTGGCAGCCGTATGCGGCGGCGACAGCAGCAGCAGCTACTAAAGAATTGCTGCTGATCATACCGGCAGAAGAAGTCGCCAAGACTGATGCAGCTGGCAGAATAACCAGTAGGTGTGCTTGTCATATCGCGATGTGGTTACACTACTAATAATGACATGTTAGACTCCGAAAAGTATCGAGTCCCGTTCAGTCTCAAAGGCATTCCTCAAGGTAGATTTGTGGATAGGCTGGATGAGGTGAGATCTTTGGAACAAGTTCTTATGCCACAAGGACAGCCTCAATCAGAAGGCTGTCGGCAGCGAGTAGTAGTGCTCCATGGACTTGGCGGAATAGGCAAGACTCAGCTTTCTGTCGAGTTTGCTAGGAAACACCAGGCAGTGTTCACATCAGTGTTCTGGTTGGATGGGAGCAGCGAAGATAGCCTGAAGCAAAGCATCGCTGACTCTGCGAGTCGCATTCCACAAGGGCAGATTCCGGAGGCGAGCAGGAAATACTTTTCTGGCACAGACAGCGACATCGATACCGTAATTCGTGATTCCATCGAGTGGCTAAGCAGAACGGAGAACAAGCACTGGCTAATTATATTCGACAACGTAGACCGCGACTATCAACAGCGAGAGACTGATAGCGATGCGTATGATATTAGCAACTATATACCAGATGCTGACCATGGTTCAGTACTGATCACGACGCGGCTTGCCAGTCTGCAACAGCTTGGCGAGACTCTACATTTGGGGAGCGTCAACATGAGCCAAGCACGTGCCATCTTTCGAAAGTGGTATAACCAAGACTTTGGTAAGGCAGTCTTATGATGCATATCTAATAGTTGCATGGTGTAATTCTAACCGGAGCGTATAGATTCGAATGACAGCGACGAGTTGCTTCAACTGCTTGACGGACTACCTCTAGCCTTAGCCCAGGCGGCGGCCTATATGAGCGAGACCGGGATAAGCTTTAATACGTATACTAGGCTATATAAAGAGCAGTGGAAGGATCTGATGAGGAATGAAGACACGGCACCGCTGAAAAGCTATGGGAACCGCAGCATAAACACCACGTGGACAGTGTCATATAATGCGATACGTGCTAAGAACGAGGGTGCAGCGAATCTTCTTCTGCTGTGGGCCCATCTTGATCATAAAACACTGCCGTTCTGGATTCTCCAAGCTAGTGCGAATAGGTCTCGTGCATTGGCCGAAGACTTGTTGGCATGGCTAAAACATACCGCGGATGACGAAGTAAAATTTTTAAAAGTAGTTCGACTTCTACGGAGCTATTGTTTGGTCGAGAGTCTAGATGGGAGTTCTGCCCACAGTACTCACCCTGTAGTACATCAATGGGCATTTCACATACAAAACGAATTTCAACAAGCAGAGCTATCGCGGTTGGCAGTCCTCATAATTGGATATGCAGTTCCAGATGAGTATACAACCGAATATCACCCAAAGCAGCGGCAGCTTATTCCACACGCGGAGTCCTGGATGGAAAGAATGGGGCGAACAACAGTGAATACAGAGGCAGAAGTCAACGAGGATATATCATACGCACTGCATATGATGGGTGTGCTGTTGTCCGATCGAGGTAACCTAGAAAAGGCGGAGAAGATGTACCAGCATGCACTGGAAGACTATGAGAAGACATGAGGCCCTGATCACACATTAACACTTCACACTGTCAACAACCTGGGTAATCTCTACACTGATCAGAGAAAGCTGACAGAGGCAGAGAAGATGTATCAGCATGCACTGAAAGACAAAGAGAAGACATGAGACTCTGATCACATATCAACACTTAATACTATCAATAATCTGAGTCTTCTCTACACTGATCAGAGAAAGCTAATAGAGATAGAGAAGTTGTATCAGCATGCACTGAAAGACTATGAGAAGATATGAGACTCTGATCATATATTAATACTTAATACTGTCAATAATCTGAGTCTTCTCTACACTGATCAGAGAAAGCTGACAGAGATAGAGAAGTTATACCAGTGTGCACTGAAAGGCTATGAGAAGGCATGAGGCTCTGATCATATATCAATACTTAACACTGTTAATAACCTGAGCCTTCTCTATACTGATCAGAGAAAGCTGACAGAGACAGAGAAGTTATATCAGTATACACTGAAAGATAAAGAGAAGACATGAGACTCTGATCATACATTAATACTTGATACTGTTAATAACCTGAGTCTTCTCTACACTGATCAGAGAAAGCTGACAGAGATAGAGAAGTTATACCAGCATGCACTGAAAGACTATGAGAAGATATAAGACTCTGATTATATATTAACACTTAACACTGTTAATAATCTGAGTCTTCTCTACACTGATCAGAGAAAGCTGACAGAGATAGAGAAGTTATATCAGCATGCACTGAAAGATTATGAGAAGACATGAGATTCTGATCATATATCAATACTCAAGACTGTTAATAATCTAGACACTCTCTATACTGATCAGGGAAAGCTGGTGAAGGCAGAGAAGATGTATCAGCACGCACTGAAAGGCTTTGAGAAGGCGCTCGGACTGCATAATATCACATCTTATTTCCCTGCACTTAAGACTGCATATAGTTACGGTATGCTCTTTGAGAATCAAGGTCGCTTAAGCGATGCGAAATTGATGTACTCAAGAGCACTTAGAGGTTATAAGGCTGTTTTTGAAACTCACTATCACTGGTACCTGGCGGCTCAAAAGCGTCTTCAGAATCTCGAGACCTCTCTAGATACTTACTCCGATTCACTGACAGCTGCTTCTCAACTTGATCAGGAAACAAACATCTCACCCGAGGCGGGATCAGCGGGGTCGGCGGGATTCATAACATCAAAACTTAAGTTAAGATAAATCACACTCGCATGTCTGATCAGTACACATTTTCTTAATTTTGACTCTCGATGCTTCTCTTATGCGTATCCTCTAGTCATCTCTTCATTTCACGCTCTTTTACAACCTTATTTACTTTCAAGATGTATTGTTGTATTCCCTGAGAGAAAGAACACTCACCCGATCAGGTGGTAGTCACGTGATGGCTATCGGTCGATTGGAAAGCCCCGATTCATTCAGTTTGCTTTGGGAAGCTACAATCACTTTGCAACATCAAACATTACAACCAGAGGCGTCTTGAGAATGGCGAAAATAAATAAATCTAAACGCAGCAAAATGGATGATCAGGCCAAACAACTGATGTCTGACCAGCGATGTCTGATGATTGAATACAATCAACCACTATCATCGTGAGCTCTCTCAACGCTTTCAGCTTTAATGGCTTACCGATTTAATTTGCTGTTTGTAGGCCATATGTATCCCCAGTCGTCACCATCACAATAGGACACAAAAATTAAGTTATTCCAGCACAAGAAAGCTAGCAGTATTCGAGACATCTTTCAACCAAACACTCCAGATTCTTAGCGCCACAAGTAGCTAATGTCTCCGCCGCAGGCACAATCAACCGAGATATATCTTGAATAACTCTTGATTCATTTTTACTCTGTAGCTTTTGGCAAGCCTTCCGGAATCGGTCATTCTGAAATATCGTGCCTTCGGGAATCGTTTGTTTCTCGTCAAGTAGCATTTTGCAAATCTCTTTGCTTCTTTCCGTTACTTCAAGTTCAGATTCAGCCATAAAGCTGCCTTTGGTGGCAAGGAAGGTCTCATAAGTAGCGCTTCTGTATTTGGCGCTCTTTCCATCTCTCGATTCTTGATCAGTTGGTGCGTTAGAGCCTGTAGCAGGACTCGAATTTGAGTTCTTGCGGCAAAGAGAAGCTGTTGACTTTTGAGTATTTCCAATCGGGTCTCCTCAACCCCTGTGAACTCACCAACAAGGCGCTTAAGTTGGATTTTGGACATAGTACAAGGTCACATTATTGGCTCAGACTCCAGATGTTGCTCGCCGACACCCCGGAGACTTCACAGCAATCGCCAGCATCGAGATGCTGCGCCGCATTACAATGTTTCAACAGATCACACCCCATAATGGCCGATTCGCTCTCAATCAATTCTCCCGCAGCCCGGATCAAGTTTAGGATTTTTGTCAGCGCTACTATGATGGCAGATGACTCCTGTTCCAGCAAGCACCCATACTTGGATATTTTTAATTCTCTGTTACGGGCGGTTACGTCCTTTCAGAAGACCCGAATGGAATATTTAAGGCCGCAGATTCCTTTGAGAATGGAAAGAAAGAACAGTCTCCAACATCAAGCCTCTGCTTTGTCCTTTGCTATATCTACCTCCACTGCCTTTAACTCACGCGCCTTCTCGACAACTCTAGTTGTCTAATTGCTAGTTCGTTTTCATTCGGAATGGCCCCTTGAAACGTTTCTCTTATCGCGTACCGCAACGCGGCAAGCCAACGTGCCCATTTTGCGATTTTTGTACCTACTGCTTCCGATCAGGATCGCGGAACCATGATCCACGTTGTTGGCGCCCCGATGGCCGGCTACCGGCTGGAGTTTAAGCGGAACTATGCGATCAACTTAACCCTGCAGCTATATACCAGACTTGCGATCGGGCAAATCGACTCTCAACACATTGTTCCAGATTCGGATCCTCAGGCCCCGCTGGTCACAGACTCCTCCCCGAAGTGTGCAATTGAAGTTGCAGCGACGCAGATTCCTCCACCAGCAATTAGCCAAAACTTCCTGGCTCCTGTCAATGATGTAAGTTGCTCTCGGATT